TCGAAACTATAATTTGAATCCATTGATTTGAGTCCACGTGGACTTTTCAACATTTTGATTTTGAACCGAATCAAACTGCTTTGAAATGTTTTGATTTAGGTTTTAATTTTGCAAGCTGTTTAAGAAAAAAAATAAATTAATTTAAATTTTATCCAACCAATTAAAAGTGAACACATCCTCACACATCCATGTTAAATTCGACTCAATAATCAACTCAATTAAACTAAATATCCAATTATGCAATTACCTATTCCAATTAATGAATGAAAAGAATTTCATAACTACAATAGTTTAGTAATATAATTTCAAAATTAGCAAACTTGTAAAAAAAAAAGGAAAAAAAAAAAAAGATAGGATGTGATTGTGACCTACAAATTGTGTGATTAATCGTGCATCACATTTGAAGATGATGAATCATGCATCACATTTGAAGAAGTTGTATCAATTAGTATGGATCAACTAAGACGTTAGAACTAAATTGTTTCTATCATATTATTGCATTGTAATGGCTAGAAGAGTAAATCTTTGATTTTTAATGGGTGATGATACTACTATTCATGTTTTGATGTGAGATTTTAGATTAATATTTATTATTTAACTTGTTCCACCCACACACATATTTTCTTTTTGCTTGCTAAAATGCGACTTTAAGTAAAAAAAAAAGTGATTTGATTTAATTTAAAAATTTTCAAATCACTTTAAGCAGTTTGGTTTGAAAATCTATTACAAATCGCCTAAATGAAAACACGTTCATCTTATAGGAAACCTTGTTAACAATTGTAGTCAACTGAGTTGGAGATAGTTATTCAGTAATTTATATAACTATGATACATAAAACGTTGATTATTACATACAAATGTTATTTTAAGTTATTTCTTTCACATTCTACCTTGTAAGTACAATAATCGCACATTGTCGTGCCATCCATTAGACTAAAGCTGTACGACGTTATTTCAATACAAATTTGCAAACTAATGAGCTCAAGCGATATTTTCATTATCATTGAGCTTTCTATTTCCCTATATGGAAAGATAGTGTATTTTGTTGAATTGCGTAGAATTGACTTGCAATTGGGATAATGGGGTTTATTTTGACGTTGACCACAAATGAAAACAAAGTCAACCATCCATTGTATGTGAAAATAAAGTCGACGCTGAAACCGACTTTTACATTTTTGTGTCTTAGTTCAAAATTTAATAGAGTGGACGAAAACAACGCTTTGGACTGCATGACAAGATAGAAAAGTTCAAAATTTAGTCTTAGTTCTGCGTAGTTAAAAATCAGACTTTTAATAAATTTTGATGAAAATTAATAAAATACACAATAGAAAAGTTGAAAAAAATTGTGGACCCCATAAAATGTGTAGCCAAAATTAATTGTTGACTTTAACTTGGATTTTTATCTACTTTTTTAACTAAATCATATATGAATTTAGCAATCGATCTCACATCCACCCTTTAAAGATAAGATCGATAGTTCTATTTCAATGAGTTTTCGTATACTTTATCTAAAAGTTTAAACTGTTAAAAAATGAAAATATTTATTTATTCACATTTTATCTTCAATATACATCGCGATAAGATTTGTTTTCAACGGAAACTTGACATGTTGAAGATTAGATATAACTGTGGCTCTTTAATAGTTCTATTACACTGAGTTTTCTACTCGCGACTTGATCAATTGCCATTCTTATGCTCGCATGTGCTAGTGATTAATCAATGAATTGGAACAAAATCAACACTCGAGCAAAACCGCTGCACAAAATAAAAAATTAATAATATTCTTCATGTTCAATTATGAGGTCAATTGAATTGAATATAAATTTTTATTATCCAATTCCGTACTTGAGACGTAACACGTATGACTTTATATCGTTTTTTTTTTTCCTTTGGCTATATAATTAACAGGCGAAAGAAAAATAAAAATTATTTCAGTGTTCTATTGACCACAATGAATCCAGGCTAATCAACAAAAGATGCAAGCGACCAATTAAAAAATATTTAATAAATTATGAGTAAAGTAATGTGATTTATCATAATCCAAGTAACTTACGTTTAAACTAAATTGAAAAGACTCTCAACATCGTGAATCCACCTTCAACAATAAAATAAGAACAATACAATTTTGAAAGGAAAACAATATTTAAAACCAATGTATCTAATTGTATTTTGAAGAGACTTTTTGTTTTTGTTTATTAAATCATTGTTCCAAATCAACACAAAGGTTGCAAAAATCTTACAAGACTTGACCAAGTTATCGAAATTAGACCATCGACTAGTCAACACAAAGGTGAAGTTCTTTTAACTTCTTTCGATATTTAGCTCCAATTTGATTTTGTTAAAAATCAAATTCCTTTAAGATTTTAATAAAGAATAATGATATATATAACTGAAAGGATTGTTAGGGTTTAACTGAACATAACAAAACCGACTTGTTAGGGGAGGATTGTTAGGGTTTAACTGAACATAACTTAGATTTGTCTAATACAACACATAAACTTCCATATTTACAAACAACGTATAAACGGTTATCCCAACACAAACAACTCCATCAATAATGCCAACAATCCCTTTAATTCTTGATTTATTAATTTAATGTTTGCTGAACAAGTCATGGAAATTTTACTAGTGTAAGCTAAATCAGTGCTCGATAATTATCAAAAAAAAAAGTCACAAGGATGGTGACTAAATCTTAATGAGTGAACAAATGTACGGTGCAGGCTCAAAATATTGATTTGGTGATGTCTTTTATTAGAATTGTTCAGCTGTAAATCTCGAACTATATTTAAAAAAAAATGATCAACCAATTAGCTATCGAGCTAAGTTTAATTAAATATGGTCACGGGACAGATGACTTGGTCCAGCAGCCA